GCCTGCCCCACAGTCTGGGGACCTAGTTTCCTTCCACTGAGTGACCCCACCTTACCCTGGGGCCATGGAATTGCCCACCAGGCCCCTGCACATAGCAGGGAGTCCAGGGAAGAGGGGATCCCATGATCACTTCACTGTCCGCATCTAAGCTGTTGTACATCCTTCTGCAGTGGTCACACGCCGCTGGAGGGACCAGTCCGTCAGTGAGCCTGGTGGCAGGTGTGGTCTGCCATGGACCTTGATGGTTTCTTACCCACTAGGTGCTTGTTAGACCCCTCATCTCTGTTTAGGCTTGAGCTAGGCACCCAGGAGGATATGGAGGAAGCAAGGACTTTAGGTCTGGCGTCCACGAGACACAGGTGCCTGGCTGGCTATCCTGCTGCCACACAGGACGTGCATCGTCCTGAGGTGTAGACTGCCTGGTGGGTTAGCAAGCCTCTGCGAGGAAAGGTTAGCAAACTCCGGTTTGGCTGCTTGATGTCCAAAAGCCAATACTCGAGAGCCAAGTGCTGGCAGGAACGGAAAGGCTGCTTTGTTCAGGAGGCTGGCAATCCGGGGAGATGGGGGACTTGTGTCCAGAAACCAACTCCAGAGATTCTGCTCGACCAGGAAAGTTTTTAAAGAAGAATCATTTGGGGAGGGGCTCAGAGTCTTCTTTGTCTTCCACCTTGTGCAGACTTTCTTATGATGGGCTGGTGGTGAGCTGAGAGGGTGGTGCTTCCGGAATCTGGTGCTCAGCCAGAAGTGACCGTCCTCCACCCGGGTGGGGTCTTAGTTCCTGCAGAAGAACTCAAAGATATTTTGTTATATATATACCTTGAGGGGGAACCAGGACCCTGCCCCAAGGCTGCACTGTTGTGTCCTGACTGCTTCTCCCTTGTCTCAGCATTCCCTCCCTTCCCTGATTAGCAGCTGTTTGAATCTGCCCGTTGGAGCTCCGGGAAGGTCAAGGAGGCTGAATGAAGCCCATTTCCTACAAACAAGAAACAGGGGACACGGAAAGGACTTGTACCCAGCAGGGCCCCACCGGGTCCTGCTCCATTGCAGAAGGGCTGTTGGCTGCAGGGGAGGCTTCCTGCAGGAAGGGGCAGCTGTCTCTCTCGGGTTATAACCATTGATTTTCAGTGCCAGTGATCAGTGGGACACCTCATCCATCAGTGACCGTGGCCGTCCTGGATTGGGGGGTTTGAGGGAAAGCGCTTCCTCTTTCTGACTCGTGAACTAGCCTCCTCCTCAAGGGCTGCTCTGGCTCATCTTTCGTCTGACCTTCCCTCTTGGAGAGCAGAGCACTGGGAAGGGTTGCCCTTGGCCCGTTTGCTGCCCACAGCAGTGACAGCGGTAGGGTGGGGAGGGCTGGGATGGCAGGGAGGGAGCCAGCGGTACGGGGGCATCTGGCTTCGGGTTGATGCCAGTAGCTCATCCTTTACCTCCACTTGACCTTGAGGAAGTCACCCTGCCTGGATTTCCATGCTCATCCATGCAACTCCTTTTTAAGATGATTTTGAGAAGACCCCAGTGTTCTGACAGATACCAGTGGAGCTGGCCTCCCCCCTCAACTCCTACTCAGCAGAGGTTACTGAGCCAGAGGGGCCTCCAGACCCCTGCCAGGCCTGAGACACCTTGTTCTGTGGAGGAGGAGGGCAGGCCTTCCCAAGACCGGTTCCTCTAGAAGCTCCGACAGTCATTGGTGACCCTCAGGAGCCCCACGAAGCCGTGTGAGTCATAGCGTCCTCTCCGTGGACTTGGTGATGCTCCCTCGGCCACATCTCCCCGCCCCCACTGGGCAGCAGGACGTCATCGGCTTTGCTGCTGATTTGATGGAGGGGGTCACACGTCTCTCACAGAGTCAGGAGCCGAGGCAGTTAGTTTCATGAGTTACTGCTTCTCTCCTGACCCGAAGAAAAAAATTCCGGTCTCCTAAACAACTCCCACACCCTCTCTGTCCTCTTTAAGTCATTTTTCTTGCTAATGAGCTCTGGTCTTCAAATGGGGCTAGGAGGAAAACCAAGGACCTTGGGAATATCTGAATCCTTGGCGAATTACCTTCAATTAATGAGACTAATAAAGGGAAGTCTAGTTCAGCTGTGCAAGTCAGCTTCGTGTTCTGGGTCCTGATGACTTAAATCGCAGATCCTAATTAGATGCCCCCAAATAACCATGAGGTGGCTTCTAAGGTCCTTATGAACTAAAAGCTTCTCTGATCTGTGAATTCTGTTACGTGTAAAATTAGCCTGTAGATGTTCCCCTTCAAGCATTTCTGTCCCCAGAGTCTCACGGTACCAACCACCCTCTAGGGGAAGGGACGGGCTGGTGGGAACCCTGCAAGGGCAGGCGGGTGGGGACCCTCCCTTGGGCTGGCGGGATGTCGGGGTACAGATGTTGTCCTCTGTTAGGTGGAATGTCTCCACTGTCCCGAGTGAAGGGGGGCGACAGCAGCTCACTAACAAGCTGAGCAGGGCAGCCAGGCGGGGCGAGGGGGTGCCGGGGACACGCAGGGAAAGGTCATGCTCCGGGTGCCGCCTCTACCTCTGGCCAGCATGGCGGCAGCTTTCAGTGACGCGGGAGGATGGCAGTAAGCTGAGAAAGACAACGTTTCCCCGTGGTCACGCCCCCAAACGTGGCCATCGTCTTGGTGTGGCCTCCTGCTGGCTCTGTCCGGTCTTTTTAAACGGCTTTAACCAGAGAACAGATAGAACATTTCATTAAAGACACACAAGATGCAGAACTGACATAAACACGTTTTCATGCTATGTTGTCTTTATTGTAGTCATTAAAGGAATCAGCCTTTTTATTGGGTATAAAGATCATTTCCCATACAGCTCAGTGCATTTCCCCACGGTGAAGTGCCTCATGGAAGCAGCGCCCACACGAGGAGACAGCACACACCAGAGCCCGCACGCCTCCTCCCACCCTCCCCAGTCAGTCCCGCCCCTCAGAGACACCACTGTCCTGACTTCTGACACCACAGGCTCGTTTGGCCAGTGCGCGAGCCTCATAGAGGTGGAATTGCCTAGAACGTGCTCTCGTGGGTCTGGGTTTCCCCCTTGATATTGTCCCTAAGAGTCATCTGTGTTGTTTTGTCCATTCTACTGTTGATGGACACTTGGATTGTTTCTGCTTTAAGCGTTGGTTTTTTTTGTTTGTTTGTTTTTAAGATTTATTTTTTTATTTGGTCGCACCGTGCGGCTTGCAGGATCTTAGTTCCCCAACCGGAGATTGAACCCGGGCCCTGGCAGTGAAAGTACCAGGTCCTAACCACTGGAATTCCACCAGGGAGTTCCCAGCTTTAAGTGTTCTTTGCAGCTTTTTTTTTTTTTGGTGACCCTAAGTGTGCGTTTCTGTTAGCAATTGCACTCTGAGTTACATGCCAGGTCACGTTCAGTGTGGGTAGGTACTGCCAGTTTTCCAGCATGGCTGCAGCATCTTACACTCCACTAGCAGTGTATCAGGGCCCCATTTATTCTGTCCACATCTTTGCTAGCACGTGGTACTGTCTGTCTTTTTCATTTTAGCTGTTCTAGTGGGTATGCAGAGGTATCTCATGGTTACAATTAGCATTGTCCTGATGACTGATGAGGTTGAAGGACTTCTTATGTGTGTTGCCTTTATTATGATCATTTTAACAGCCATATGGTAGTGTTTCTTATAGATGTTCCAGAATGCACTTATCTGTAGCTGGGCATTTAGATTGGTTCCAGTGTTTGTCATTACAAGCAATGCTACAATTAGCATCTCTGGACCACTGGCCAGAATTTTGTTATTGTTTACACATTTTGATAAATAATGTCAAATTGGTTTCTGAAATGCTCGAACCTCTCTAAAATGTTATCAGCAGTATAGGAGAGCCCTATAGAGATTCCCCTAGGTCTGCCAGCAAAGCGCATTCTCATTAGAAGAACAAACAAACCTCTTTTAGACCCCTCCTTTAGGTAATTAAAGGTGTATTTAGCATTGCTTTCCACATGATGATTGAGTTTGGTCACTTTTCCAAAGTATTTCCTACATGTATCCCTCTTTTATGAATTCATACCTTTTGCCACTTGCATTTTTAGTGAGTTTTTTTGTCAAGTTGTGTAAACATTATTGTAAAATACAGATATTACTACTGCAAGTACTTTCCCAGTCTGTTCCACTGTCATTGCATATTTTTGACTTGTATGCCTTTTGATGTCAGCAAACCGGTGAGGCTTCCCCTTGGTGACTTCTTTGGGGCCTCCCCAGCCAGGCTACTGCCCTCTCTGCTGAGATGCCCAGGCCCAAGGCCCCTGGGTGCCCCAGTGGGAGGGGGAGGAACACAGCCTGCAGGGGGTGTCGGGTTTGTCTGACGGCTGCGCACACTGATCCTCCTGTCGTCTCCACCATGGACTCTGGAAGTTTCAGATGCTCTCGCTCTGGGCCCTTGCGGTCTGCCCTAGCGACCCCAGCAGTGCTGGACCGAGTCGGAGCCTGGGTGTTGGGATCCGCGGGAAGGCGCGCAGGGGCCAGGCAGCAGCGGTGGGCTGGGAGCTAGGTGGGGTTTGCAGAGCCCGCTCCCGTTCTTGCACATTGGCTTCTCACTGCAGCCCCGTGAGGTGGGTACAACCACCTTCATCTTAGACACCAAAAAGCAGAGCCTCAGAGGCACCCAGGTTCTCCCAGGGCCTGACATTTCTGAGCAGGGAGCCTGGGCCTCGGGCTCTTTATCTCCTCCTTTCCCTGAATCACATCCCAGCTGCCCAGCAGGCCCTTTAGGGCTGTCCCCCCTTCCCCTGGATCACCCCAGGGCGGGGGAGAGGAATGGGCACTTTCCGCTTCTCATCCTTCGGGGCTTTGCGCAAAACCTTTGTTTTTGAGCCAGAAGGTTAGATTGGGATGTGAAGCTCAAAGGAACACGTAGTAGCTCTTGGCTTCCCCACATTTCTAGGCATTAAAATTATAACATATATCAGTACATTGTAATAAGCATTCTCGAGAACTTTATGTTTGACTAGCTTGTTAAGTTTATAATTTTCTATTTTTAGATGATGGATTTGGATGTGCTTCTGTGAAGAAATGCCACGTGTCTCTACTGGTCCAAGAACGAACATGTCCAGTAAGTTAGTCGCTGGGTGAATTAACCCAAGAGTGGGAACACAGGCCCTTCAGGTGCAAAGGCATTGATGCACTTTGAGAAGACAGGGGTGTCTGGATATATGGGGACCTTTGAGAGGGGTTATTAGTCTACTTATCTTAACTCCTAAAGGTTGGTTCCTTCCGGAGACAGCAGGGATTGTAGCATATAGGGTTAGAAGAATATGTGAAACTCACTCCTTGCTGGGTAACCCACTTCTCAGAGCAGAAAGTGAGCTCTGTGCTGGGCCGGAGCATCTGTGTGGCTCAGCCTGCAGTGGCCCTTTGCCCAGAGACCTCCGTATCCACAGCACAGCACTATCCACTGAGGCGTAGATTGTCGCGTTTTGTGGGAGAGAAAGCCTGAGTCCGACACACGTGAAGATCCTTTACCCCTGGGAGGGAGAGAGCAAGGTTGGAGACATGCCTTTGGTTTCCACTGTTCTGCTGTGCTGTCCTGGTCAGTGGGTGCCAGACCTCTTCTTGGGTCTCTTATCTTTCTAACAGAGATGGTAGTGAGCTGATTTATGATTATAAAGAGTCTCTGAGGCTTGCCGGTAGAAAAACATAATAAAGCAAACAAGAAAATATCAAAGGCCATAGTTTATGATTAGATCTAAGCCATCATTTAATGTGGCATGTCTCTGTTGAAGAGAACATGCTTTCTTTACGGGATCCCGCGGACGGACCGTGCTGGTGTGTGTGTGAGTACAGAGGAGGTGACTAGATGGGGCCTAGCTCATCGGACTCTCCATCCTGGCTCCCCAGCTGCCAGAGGGCCCTGGCTTTTCTGCATCTTGTCCATGTAGGTCAACGTGCTCTCTCCGTGAGAGCACAGTGTCTCTTCGTCACCGTCCCTGTTTTCTTGTTGTTGTTGTTGTTTGTTTTTTTAAAAAAACAGTGTTTCTTTTTATTTCTCAGGACTACCGCCACCTTAGGGGACTAGGGCTTGGTGACAGCGCTTCCCGGGGAATCAGGCGTGGTCTGACCCAGGAACAGGAAGCACATCGTCACCAATGACATCATGACAGCAAGAGAGCACAGCCCTCGCCATGGCACCAGGGCCCGTGCGATGCAGCGGGCTTCCACCATCGATGTGGCAGCCGACATGCTTGGCCTCTCTCTCGCAGGTGAGCCTCACCGGGCCTGCCCGCGGGTCCCATACTGTGGCAGCGCTGGGAGGGCCAGGCCTGGCATCCCTCTGCTTGAACTGGAATAGGGGGAAGTCAGCCCTCTTCCTGGGAATTGCTTCCACTGGAACCTGCCCGCCATCAGTTTTCCGGCTTGCGTGGGCACCTCCAGGACTCATTTGCCGATGGATAACGTGGGAATGTCCACAGTGCCTGTCTGGCAAGTGCCCAGACCATAATAAAAGCTCTTTGTGTTGTGAGTGTACAGACCCAAGTGGGAGGGGGTTTGGTCTCGGGGTCAGAGACTTCTTAGGAATCTCAAACTAAAATGTTTAGAAAACAAAGAAATCATCTCATATAACAGTTTGTGAGGGAAAATAAAGCAGAGCGTTGGGTTTTTCTTCCCTGTTTTATTGAGAAGTAATCGACGTATATCACTGTAAGTTTAAGATGTACCGCTTGATGGTTTAACTTATACATATTGTGAAATGATTGCCACCAGTGTGTTGAGTTTTTTGCATCCAGTCTGAAAGCAGGGAGAAGTTTATTAAGGGTGATTCTCTTTCTGTCATTTCTTTTTTATCCAGGAAGCATACAAGATCCAGATGAGCCCATTTTAGAATTCAGCTTAGGTAGGTGTCTTTTAAACTTTCTTGTCTTAAAATATACGTTGCTTAAAAACAAAAACAAACACTCCACGACTGGCAGGAGTCTGTCTCAGAGATCTTGCTGCTGCCACCGCTGCTGCTCAAGTGCTTCTGAGGACATGAAGCTCCGAGGCTGGTGGGAACCTCCTGTGGGTGGGGGGGAACCTCGGGGGGGCTGCCTGCCTGCCCCCGGGGCTCGTGTCTCCTCAGCACATGCTACCTGCCGGCTGGCAGTGGGGAGGGGCGGGAGGTAAGCCCACCCAGAGCCGCAAAGACAGCCTCCCCTCCCCTCTCCTATCCCCTGGGAGGGGTGAGGAAACGGGGCTTAGGGCCAGCGTTGTCCGCCCGCGACCACAGGGCCCTGTGGGGTTGCATTTAGCTCTCTAGCCCTCGGATCCCAGCTCCACGCACGGAGGAGCTGACCCCTGATGCTGCCCCTCTCACGAGCATCAGATGAGAGAGTGTGCCAACCACTGTCGTGGGCTGTACTGGCTCAGGGGTCGGGCAGTGTGGCTCATCACAGAAGGTTCTGCTCCAAGGCCTCCCCTTGTCCGTGGAAGTCTGCCGAGTGGCACGCGCCCACCTCACCCTCCCTGCCCTGCTTCCTCTCGTCCTAATTCTGTTGGGCTTATTCCTCCAGGATGGAGGCTGTCTCTGGAGAAGGTAAACCACCCACTCGCCACCACCCCCAAAGAGACACAGAGATGCTGGCCTGGAGCCCAGCCACAGTAGGCCGGCCGGCCCCCCATTCACTGTCGTGGAGCCCGCGGAGCCCACCATACACCTCAGCTTCCTGATACCACATACTTAGAAACAAAAGGACTTTTATTTGTGCTCACAGAGATGGGTGCATGCATGTTGATTGCAGTTTTATCTGTAATATCCAGCACTGGAAACAACGTCCATCAGCAGGACGATTAACTGTGTTACGTGCATACAACAGACAGCCGCTCAGCAAGGAAAAGGACCAATCACTGGTACACACACGCCATGGGTGCATCTCAAAAGCACTGTGCAAAGTGAAAGAAGCCGTGATAAGAGGCCGTGTGTTGTGTAATCCCATTTATGTGAAACTCAGAAGGATGAATCTGTAGTGAGAGAAAACAGGTTAATGGTTATCTGGGAGTGGGCATGAGGACTGACTGGAAAGGGGCACAGGGAGCCCTTTGGGGTGATGGAGATGCTCTGTGTCTGGACAGTGGTGGTGGGTCTATGGGTGTGTATGCTGATCAAAACTCACTGAGTGCTGTACTTAAAATGCGTGCATTTTGCATCCAAATTATACCTCAGAGGTGATTTAAAACAAAATGAAAGCATAGATCCCTAGACCTTTGTGGAAGGCCCGCAACATGAAAGACAGAAAATAATAGAACTTGGAAGAAACAGGGACACTGAAGAAAGAAGAAAACGTCAAAGAAATTATAATGTGTATCGTCAAGAGAAGATGGTGTATCCATAAAAAAAAACCCAGGAAACTATGAAGAAAATCAACAACTGAAGAGCATGTACAGTCTGAGAAATTTAAAATATAACAGAGCATTTTCAAATTCAGTAAAGGTTGGAAGGTTATTTGAGGAATTATCCCAGAAAGTAAAAATTTAAGAGCAAACTAGAAAACGGGAGGGAAGTGGAAAATTAGCAAATTCAGGAGGCTCAATATTTAGAAGAGAAAATAGGAAAGAAGGTAAAAGGGAGGGAGGGAATTAACAAGAAATAATAGAAGCATCTCTCGGGACCACAGAGCGCATAACAAGGCAGGTCGCGGTGGAACTTCAGAGCCCTGGGAATAAGATGAAGACCCTAAAAACTTCCAGAGAGGGAAAAACCAGAGATTCCTGGGGACATGGGAAGCTCGAAGACGGTGGGGCCACATCTTTAATATGAGTGGAGAAATGTCTCCAACCTGCAGTTCTCTGCTCAACCAGGTTATCCATCAGTGTGAAGGTAGGAAGACATTTGTTTCATGATAGAGTCTCAAGTAAATTTACTTTCCCCACATCCTTTCTCTGGAAGTTAGTGGAGGGTGTGCTCCACCGAAAAGAGGGAATGAACTGAGAAAAAAGAAGATCCAGGAGGCAGAGTCCAACACAGGAGAGAAGTAAAAGAAGTCCCGTGATGAATAGTATTCGCTTAGCGTCAATAATGCGGAACATGGATGTAACAAAAAAGCTGAGCTAAACTGAGTTTAGAGGGAGAATGAGAGTTGATGTAATTAAGTTAAAAATCTTCACCGCTGTAATAGAAATCTAGAAAACAGGACATTTCTGAATCTGGCAAGTCAAGGGCGGTAACGTAGTCATATTAATGAGATGGAGGAAGAAACAGCTTAAAAAAGTGAGGGTGAATTTTCTGTTAAATGAATTTTGCCACAATTACAAAAAAAAAAAAAAGATGAGTAGGAGTCAGATAATTGAATGGTCAAATGTTTTATCTTAAAAATAGAAGTTTAAAATTAAAAAGTACTCATGTAAGAACCTTTAATAGAGAAAATGTAAACCCTATCAGAGAGAGAGAATCACAGTTGGCATTTTGGTATATATCCTTCCAGATAATTTTTTACACCCACACAGGGCTATACAGAAACTTTTGATGAGTTTTAGTTGTGGAGGTGATGGAATTATTTACAAGAATGTCATCCTAGTGTTCTTAACATGATTTTTTTTTTTCACGTAGCGAAATATCACTGGCGTCTTTTCATTTTAATAAACGTGGATCTGCCACCTCATCATTTTAGATGCCTACATAGAATCTATTGTATGGCTGTGCCATATTTATTTTAACCAGTCTCCTATTGCTGGACATTTAGGTCTTTCCAATTTGCCATTATAAACACACCAGCACAGTTAACGTACATGTACATGGATCTTTCATATATTTTGCTGATTATTTCCCTAGGATAAACTCTTGGATATAGAATTGCTGAGTCAGATGATATGCACTCAAAATAGGTTTTACCGGTTTACGTCAATAGCATTTATTCAGCTGGGACTACAGATGCTCTGGTTGGAGAGACAGGACCCACATATCAGAGATTAATGGTTTCTATGGAAATATGCCAGAGGAGTGACGTGTAAGTGATAAACGGAAGGAGACGTGACTGTGGGCTGCAGAGAGAAAGCTTCGTGGAAGCCATGGAACTGAGCTAGGAATTAAACCTTGCGTGAGATTTAGACAGGCTGGGTGGGGACGAGGCCAGGAGAGAATGTCACCCGTGGGGAGGTGTGTTCTGACGGTGGCAGTTGGCCCATCAGCCCTTAAGCTGATAATCAGTCTTTCCAGCCTTGGGCCACCTGCTGGTGTCTCAACCTACCTGCCATCACTTGCGCTTGAGAGACTCGGATGTTCTAACCTCGCATGATGAGAGGGCAGGCCAAGAGAGACCAGACCAGGGTCACCGATGGGGGTAGCTTAAAGGAGGGAGAGCAAATGGAACAGTCAAATCCCTGATTTCTGTTGAGGCAGACAGAGTAGAAGAAAGAGAATAGAATTTTTAGAAAATAATGAAACCTTAAAGCTTCTGGAAGAAAATAAATAACTCACCACCACAACTTGAGGGTAGGCAGAGCTTTCTTGGCAGAAAGTACTAACTCTGTGTTTTAGTTTGCTATTGCTGCCATAACAAATGACCATAACATAGCACCTTAAAACAATGCAGATTGATTATCTTACAGTTCCCTTAGGTCAGAAACCCAGAGGGCTCAGCTGGGTCTCTGCTTAGAATCTTATAACACCAAAATGAAAGCTTCAGCATGGATGCGGTCCTTTCTGGGGGCTCTAGGGGAGAATGTGTTTCCTTGTTCATTCAAGCTGTTGGCAGAATGAGTTACTTGTGGTTTTAGGACTGAGGTCCCCATTTCTTTGCTAGCTACCGGGTTGAGGCCTGTTCTCAACTTATAAGAGCCACTCACATTCTTTGGCTGTGGCCCCTCCCTCCATCTTCAAAGCCAGCAATGGCAGGTTGAGTGCCTTTCATGCTTAGAATCTGTCCTGTCTCTCTTTTTTTTATTGTCACATCTTTCTAACTCACCCTTCCACCTTCCACTTGTACTTTTAAGAGCTCATGTGATTAGATTAAGCCCACACAGATAATCCAGAATAATCTTTTCATGTCAAGATTCCATGACCTTAATCACATCTATGAAGTCTTCTTTTGCCTATTATTATAATATATTCACAGGTTTAGATTAGAACGGATTCACAGGTTTGGAACGTGGATACATTTTAGGGGGAGGGACATTTTTCTGCCTGCCGTTCTCTAAAATTAAAAATCTAAAATCAAAAAATCAAGAACTGTAGAAATCTTTAAGCAAATGAATAAATAAACCACAGACTGGGGGAAAAAAAAATCACAACACATATACCTGACAAAGGACAGATCCAGAATAAAATGCTTACAAATTGACAGTTTAAAAAAAATCAACTCAGTTTAAAAATGAGCAAAAGACTTGAGCAGACTCTTGACAAAAGAAGTTATAACAATGAACAATAAACACACAGTGAAAAGATGCTTAACATCATGAGTCATCACAGAAGTGCAAATTAAAACACGTCCATTAGAACAACTAAAATAAAGACGAACCCCACCAACTGTTGGTGGGATGCAGAGCAGCTGGAACTCATGTAAATTGCTGGTGGGATTGTAAAATGATACAGCCACTTTAGAAAACTGTCAGCTTCTTACAAAGCTAAGTGTATCCTCTACTATAAGCTAGAAATTCCACTGCTAGGTACTTAGGCAAAAGAAAGAAAACATGTTCACAAAAAGATGTAAGAATGTTTATAGCACCTTTATTTATAATAGCTCCAAACTGGAAACAACCTGAATGTCTATTCACAGCAGGACTGGTAAGTAAACGTTGGTACATTCATACAATGGAATATAATCCATCAATTTTTAAAAAGAAAAATGAATTATTGGTATATAAACAATACAGAGGAATCTTAAAAATGTTCCATTTATGTGAAATTCAAGAATGGACAAAAGTGATAAAAATCAGAAAGTGGTTGCAGAAGTAGGGGAATTGACTGGGAAGTATGGGGGGGAACTTTCTCGTCTGATGGGAAAAGGTATCTTGTTTTGATGAGGGTTACATGGGTGTATATGATTGTCAAAACTCATTGCACTGAAAACCCAAGGTCTTTGTATTTTATTATATTCCAATAAGTAATGAAAATCCGTGAAGATGTATGAGAAGATAATACAAAGAGATTAATTTTCAGAAGTAAATTAATTTGCAGAAGTAAAAATCAGTTTCTGAATTTTAAATCACCAGTGAGCGTTTAAAAAAATCAATGAGAATGATGAGAGCAGGAATAAAGACCTCTAAAAATCCTCTCCTTCATAAAGGCAGTGAGAAAATGGTCAAAATCAATTGTCAAGATATTGAAACAACCTAAGTGCCCATCAACCGATGAATGGATAAAGCAGATGTGGTACATACAGATACAATGGAATATTACTCAGCCATAAAAAAGGATGAAATTTTGTCTTTTGCAGCAACATGGATGGACTTGGAGGGCATTATGCTAAGTGAAATATGTCAGACAAAGACAAATACTGTATGATATCACTTATATGTGGGATCTAAAAAATACAACAAACTAGTGAATATAACAAAAAAGAAGTAGACTTACAGATATAGAGAACAAACTGGTGGTTACCAGTAGGGAGAGCTGGAAGGGGCAATACAGGGGTGGGGGGAGTAGAAGGTACAAACCACTGGGTATAAGATAGGCTTAAGGGTGTATAGTACAACACAGGAAATATAGCCAATATTTTGTAATAAGTATAAGTGGAAAGTAACCTTTAGAAGTTGTATAAAAATTAAAAATTATAAAATTTTTTTAAAACATCAATTGTTTCTGAACTCTTGGAATTAACCAAAGGCTTGCAACCCTGTGGGGCATGTTCAGTTCCCCTCCAGAGAAGCCAATTCTTTTTATGAGTGTTGGATGATTTACCATATGTTTCATCAGTTACAAGGTGGATATTTTTTCATCTTTTTAGTATATCTTTAATCAGAAAGTGTCTTACAATCAGTGGCATATCATAGACAAATGGCAGTGGGCCTTTTTTTTCTCTCATAATGCATTTTACAATAGATAGCATGTTAGATTCAAAGACGTATGGTCATTTTTCCTCTGGGTCCCTTCTATGATAGAGTTATCTGAGTCTTTCAAAATGCTTAGTACATTTTCTAACTGAAACACTTCTACAGGGCACCTTTTGTTCTGAAAAGTCACATGTTTAGTAATCTTACATTTGATATAAGTCTTATAAGGAGAATAAATGAGCAATGACTTCCTTAAACAAAAAACTTTATTTTGCCATAGAATTTTAATTTGCTTCCAACATACATCACACACAGATCTGGGGACACCATAAGCTACGGCTGTGGAAGTCCTGGGTCTTGATTTCATCAACTCTGTGGCTGCTTAGCTCCAATTAGTTATTAAGGTCAGACTTTATGGGTCAGACCCTTCCTTTGTCATCCATTCCGTGGACGTAGAGAGCCTTCCATTGGCAGTGCCTGCATTGCTGTCCTGGGGGCTGGGGAAGGCGGGGAGGATTGAGAAGGGATTGCTTCTAATCTGAAAAATCACCTCCCTGTGACAGCTGACAGTGTGATCATCTCATCCCTTTGAGTGTCATTTACTTCTCTTGCTTTCTTTGGGTGCATTTGGAACAGAGAACTAACTAGAGCCTGATTTTAAAGATTCATTTCTATTTTATTTTTATTTTATTTTATTTATTTTATTTCTGTTGTTTTAATTCTGTAGCTTGCAGTGAACTGCATACGCCATCGCTAGATCGAAAACCAAATAGCTTTGTAGCAGTGAGTGTGACCACCCCACCCCAGGCGTTCTGGACGAAGCACGCGCAGACGGAGATCATTGAGGTGGGTGCTGCTGGCCCCTGGCCTCCGGCGTCTCCGTGACAGTGTTTCTGATCCCGGTGGGAGGGCTGTTCAGTGGCCTGAGCACCTGTAGCTGCAGCTGCATTCCTGTGGATCGTCGCTGTTCTTCCATGGCTTTTCAGTACATTGGTATCTTTCATCACACTTACTCATGCGGGTGGCATTTATATTCGCCATATCCTTTTCAGTTACTATTGATTGTCCATTGGCAGGCTGTTTTTGAACAGTGGTCCTCTACGGTTGATTGCCTTTTCAGAGGTAAGGCCTGATTCTTCCTTGTCACCTCCAGTTGGCTGCTACTTTTGGACAGGTGTGCTCATTAATCAGAATTTGGAGAGTGTTAACTCTTAACCAACCCTCTTACTAGGCATACCTTTATTTTTGTTGCTTTTTATTTTTATATTCTTTTGAGATGTGTGCTATGTGTTTACTTTTTACATTGAATGAAATGATACGTGTTCGCCTGGGGAATTTTACAAAATTTCTTCAGATAATTGAGGACATCATGTAAGTTATGAAACTAAGTGTAGGAGTTGGCTGGTGTGAGCTCCTGTTGGATTTTGTTGGTGACGTGAGCCTCTAGGTGTGGAGTATCTCCTCCCTGGCGCTGTCCACCAAACAAATTGCATTTCCCCTTCTCTCCCAGTGTCACAATTTGGAAGGCAAGACACTTTTTCATTCTCTTAGAAATGTATTTCCAAGTTCAAGCCAACAATTCTGTTTTCTCAGCACTTGTCGAGCACTGCCTACGTATGAAGCCTAGTGCTGGGTGCCGTGGATGATAGAAAGGCCCTTGAGGCCCCGCCCCTGCCCTCAAGGAGTCTACCATCCTGTGGGTGAGGAGGCGGAAATGAACGTGGCTCATGCAGACAGAGCAGAGTGTGGTCTCAGTTAGAGCAGAGAGACGAGGACGGTACCCGGAGGACGAGGTCCCGTCCAGCTCACTGTGTGGGTTTGGAGAGTAACTTGATCCCGTCCAGTGTGTGCAGAGGCACAGCAGGAGTGCAGGGAAGCGGGGGTCTGGCCAGGTGGGGCAGCCTTGTCTGCAGGTGTGTTTCAGGGAGGCCCCGAGTCGGAGGTCGCTGGGGAAGTGACAGTGCCGTGGGGCCTGACTGGCAGCAGGGAGGAGTGGAAAGAAGGGGGCATGAGCGGGAGGCTCTGGAGGTGGAACTGGCGGGGGTGCAGCGATGCTGGGTGGTTGAGAACAGAGGAGGGGAAGGCTCCAAAGCAGGTGCCCGGGCCTGCAGCCTCCTTGGACAGGGAGTCGGAGAGGGTCCGAACCAGCGGATGGAGGGACAGGTTGGGTGGGGCCGTGGCCCCAGCAGGACACCTGGGGTGGGCACTGTCCAGCAGGCGCAGAGACAGTGGAGCTGGAGCTGCAGGTACAGACAGGAGCCGCTAACTGTTTGGCTGATATCGCTAACCACTGCCTGAGGAAGAGAGTCTGATGTAATGGCACTTAGGGGGGCAAGGCTGGGCTGCCAGAAAGTAGCTACCTACAATTGAGACACTAGCAGCTAGTCTTCAGAAAAGGACAGCCCTAAGAAAGCCGGACCGTAATTATTCCAAACCCAGGATTCTAGAAATAACCAACTCTGGCCATTCATATCCTCTTCCATCTGCCTTTGTACATCTTAAAGGAATAACCCACAGTAGTAGATCCAAATACATAACTCATCTGAAGTTGTAAGACTAAGAATACATGTGGACATTCAACTCAGTTTTAGAAAATCCTTCCCGCTGAGGGAGGAACCCTTAGAATGAGCCCTTGGGCCCAGCTTGTGTGGTGGTCTGTTTGTTGTATCTGGGCCCGGAAAACTTTGTCCTTTTTGGAAGACAGTGTTTTGGTTATATGCATCCATGTAAGCTCCATTTGCATTTGTGTTGATCCAAGTTGGTAAGAACGTTAGTTTCTCCTTCTGAGAATGTTGGTGTATTTCAGAAGCAACCAGTTCAAAAAATCCAACTCTGTATTCTGATTCTTTTTTTGTTGTTGTTCTATTCTAGGGAACCAACGATCCTATATTTCTAAGCAGTATTGCCTTCTTTCAAGACTCTCTCATCAATCAGATGACACAGATCAAGCTCTCCGTGTATGATGTCAAGGATAGATCTCAGGGAACAGTTAAGTACCATGTTGTGGTTCGTGGGATATTCTTCCCTTTTTTTAAAGTTATGTAATCGTTTGAGAGGTGAACACGAGATTGACTTCACTTCTGGCTCACAAATTAATGTCCAAATGTACTTGTCTTTGGGAATGTCTTTATGAGCCTCCCCATTGGGCTACTGAGATGAGGTCAGATGTGTTGAGAGATCCAGCCAGCTGGACTCCCCAGGGCCTGGCAGTTGGAGCAGAGGCAAAGCAGGTGCACTAATGCTGTCTCCCCCTCTCCCTCAGATGTACTTGCTGGGCTCTGGAACATTTGTCGTCAAAGATCTGCTCCAGGACAGGCGTCATAGGCTGTATTTAACACTAAGGTTGGTATTTAATATTGTCCCTTTGCAAGGATCTGGAATTATGAGGTCCAGGGACAGATGGGGAAAGGCCCTACTTCCTGTACTGAGCGAGCACCGTGTCCCCAGAGGCCAGTCTCTGGGCGGGGACTTAGTTGTCATTGAGGAGAGAGAAGAAAAGCCTGTCAGAGGGCCTGTCATGGAATGGAAGTGTGCAGTGTTTATAGGAAGTATGCAGACCCAAAGGAAAACCTAGGTATGCATCTAATAATACCAAACATACTTTCCTGTTATCTGTCCCCTCCCTAATAGGATCTCCCAGAGGGCAGGGATGTTCCATGGTTTTGCTCGTATCCCAGGACCTTAGAAGAGTGCCTGCTGCTCAATAAATATTTGTGGAAGGAAGGAATGTGGGGAGGGAGGCGCGGGGGGACCCCACTATGTTGGGGTCAAGGTAAGGTGTCGGTCCTTCCCAGATTCAATTTAGGGGCAGTTCCCACCCTGACACAGTGTTTTTTTTGTTTGTTTTTTCCCAAAATGATGTAAAAGTTGGGGAAATAGTCCCAAATAGCAAAGAAGATTTTGACACAAGATGAATTCCCTGCTAGTAGTGCGACATTTTGAAGATACGACGGAGTTGAAGGCGTTGGGCAGGGCTCACCCTGCTGTGTGTGTGGAGAGCTTGACTCAGGACGAGGAAGGGGTCTCGGGGAGAAAAAGCAGGGTCGCGTGGTGGTGGTGGGGGGGCTGTTAGAGAAGAACACCCAGGTGCATCGTACGCCAGAGCTGATTCTAGTTGGATTAGGGTTAAATGTAAGATGTGGGCATCATCCTTTTTATTTATTTATTATTATTTTTTAAAATTTTTATACATGTACATTTTATAGTCATTTATTAAGCTCTTGCTGTGTGCTCTCCTGTATGACCTCGCCTAATACTACAACCCTAGGAGGAGATATTAGGAACCTGAGGTCCAGAGAGGTTAATTAACTTGCTCAGTGTTATCCAGCTAAGAACTGTCAGAGCCCACGTACAAATCCAGGCAGTCTGATTCCAGAGCCTGCACTTTTTATTTTTTATTTTTTGGCTGCGTTGGGTCTTTGTTGCTACGCACGGGCTTTCCTCTGGTTGCGGTGAGCGGGCTTCTTATTGTGGTGGCTTCTCTTGTTGCGGAGCACGGGCTCTGGGCACTCGGGCTTCAGTAGTTGTGGCACGTGGGCTCAGTAGTTGTGGCTTGCACGTTCTAGAACGCAGGCTCAGTAGTTGTAATGCACGGGCTCAGTTGCTCCGCGGCATGTGGGATCTTCCCGGACCAGGGATCAAACCTGTGTCCCCTGCACTGGCAGGCAGATTCTTAACCACTGCGCCACCAGGGAAGCCCCATCATCCTTTTTAAAAGGAGCTAGAGATGACCGTCGACCAGAGAGCCTGGGGAGGGACTTTTCCAGGCACGAGAACCTTGAGAGTGAGTCACAGAGGAAATGGTCAGTGGATGCATGTGACCACATAAAAATTTAGAACCTGGCTAAGCCCCACAGCTTAGATAAAAAAGCCAGAGGCTTCAGGCTATCTCTGAATGAATCAAGGATTCACTGGGGCTTCCCTGGATGCATCAGATGGGCCCAGGCAGCCAGCAGCCACCCTGAGGGGGGTCTTAGCAGTAAAGCAGACCAGGGCTAGAGTGCTGTCAGCTATACCATGAAGGATTCAGAGGCTTTGAGAAATCCTGGGTGACCTCAGCTTACTTGGGGTCCCGGCCTAGGCCTTGAGGGTAGTCGGAGCTTGAGGGTGGGGTGGAAATGAGTAGAAAAGGGGTCTAGTGCCAGAAGAAGGTGCTCTCCAGTCCCGATTGCAAGGTGTGTCCGCATCACTCTCTGGGGCGGGGTCAGCCCAGGGCCGATGGGCGCCAGCCTCCCGAGCGGGCATTGGCTACCCCCGACCCCCGCTTCACCGGGCATGCCACCCATCTCTGGGGCATCGTCCCCTCTCAGACACAGCCCTCTTCTGTGCCCCCGTCTCCTCGCCTGCCTCCCCCGGAGCCTGTGCACACGGTAACTGCTGCCTGACCCACCAGCTGGCCCCATCCTGGCACCCCCAGGACCCCTTGACCATCCAGGAAGCTGCGCTTTGTGTTGAAGCAGAAAACGAAGCGCAGTCACGGCGCCGTTTACCAAAGCGCGTTGCCGGTTGCAGGTCTGCGGAGAGCGACCGCGTGGGCAGCGTCGCCGTGATGGGCTGGCGGATGGAGGAGAAGTCGGACCCGCGGCCCCCCGTGACCCGGCCTCTGGACGCCGCCAGCGGGAGGGTGAGCGCGCCACTCTGCTCCTCTCCGTGAGGAGTCGAGGACCGTCCCGACGCGCTCTGCCAGTGAGCTGTGCGGAGGGGAAGGCCGGGCTCCCGGGCACTTCTCCAGGTAGAGAGGAGCGGTCCCCTGCCCCTGCCCCAGGCCACGCTGGCGCCTCTCCAGACTGCGAGCTGCAGTCAGTCGGGAGGGCAGAGGTGGCTCGCGGGTGTGGGGTGAGACCCAGGTCACCCCGAGGGCTGGGCACGGCCTTCCTCTCCCAGACGCTCCTCTGCCTCGCAGTCGCCTGGGCCCCGTCTCACACCTGTGCCCCCCACCCCACCCCCACCGTGTCACCCTCTCTGATGCACAGCCGCTCACCCAGACACTCTCAAACAACAGTTCTAATTTCAGAGCCCAAACGCTGGTAGATAGTCATTGTAAAATACAGAGATCTCTCATTTTACCCCAGATGAACCTGAACGTCAGCTGTGGAAAATACTCCTGGGCCTCATCTACCACTGCCCTTTCATCCTACACGTCAGAACACTCAAAGACAAGGGGAAGTGACTTGGTCGAAAGTTGTGCATTTCTAGAAAATTGTGTGGGTGGAGTATGTTTAGTGTCCTGGGAGGGGGCCTCACTTGTCTGTGGCTGTGCGTTTCTCGTAGAGTTGATGGTGGATGTTAGTTTCAAGGGTTCTTTTATGACATGATGTGCTCTGGAGTCTGAGTCACAGTTTTCTCATGCTTTTCTGTACATGTTTTTAGATGGTCCTGCCTGTTGACGAGAGCTTGACCGAGGCCTTGGGAATCCGATCCAAATACGCTTCGTTGCGAAAAGACACTTTACTGAAATCGGGTAAACGGCTTCGTCTGTTGGTACTCTTGCCACTCGTGAGTGTCCACGCGGGTTCGTGGTCTGCTTCCCCACCCGCTCTGATTGTCACGGCTGTGCACGTCCGTTGTCACCTCTCTCTGCACATCAGCGTGCCGTCCTTTGTGGCAGCATGTCGGGACCTCGTGACCCTCTGGGGAGGGGGCTCCTGCTTCCTTCCGCTCTGTCTCGATGGTGTCAGGCTCGGTGTCCAGCAGCCTCCTCGCCCCGGTCTTAGCACCTTAGAGCCGGTGACACGGTCTGGGATGATGAGGCCGCATGTCACAGGGCAGGGGCGTTCGGGCTCGATCACTCCGTGGGTGTGGGTTTAACTGTTTTAACTCCCTGGAGATGAGCAGGAAGGAGACCCGGGGGCCGGGGGGGAGGGCCCCGCGGCGGCCTGCGCCTGCTCACCGCGGCCTGTCCCCCTCCCGCCTCAGTGTTCGGCGGTGCCATCTGCCGCATGTACCGGTTCCCGACCACCGAAGGCAACCACCTGCGGATCCTGGAGCAGATGGCGGAGAGCATGCTGTCCCTGCACGTGCCCCGGCAGTTCGTGAAGCTCCTGCTGGAGGAGGACGCGGCCAGGTGAGGCCCCCTGTCATCTGCCCCTCCCGTCTGGGAGGCCCGTGGGCGGGGTGGGTGAGCACTGGCCTCAGATGGGCCGCACGCCCGGCGTCCGCCGCCTGCCTGCTGCGCGGCCTGGGCTCAGTTTGCTCATCTGTGTCCCAGGGTTTCTGTGCGAGGACGTCACGAGACAGCGTGCCCGACACGCCAGCTGTGCCCCTGCCGAGCACGGGCTCCCCTCCCCTCGCCTCCCCTCTGGCCTTAAGAAAGTTAGACTAGCTGGTCCCTCTCTGATTGTGGCTGCCTGGGTCATGGTTTCCTACGGTCCAGGCTCCAGAGGGCTAAGGATGACCCATCAGGACACTTCTCCTCTGTGTCTCTCGGCCCGTGGCCTGCTTCACTGGTCCTGAGGCGGGGGGCAGCCTGCGAGGAGGTCCGGGCACTGCAGGATACGTCTCCCGTCTGCCGTCGAGCAGTGTTAATCTTAGATGCAACGCAGCAGCTGCATGAAGGAAAACAGTGCAGCCAGATCCTACTGTTTTAATACAGCTATTTTGTTGTAATTTTTTTATCTTGAAAAAAATTTGAACTTAGAGAAAAAGGGGAAGAATAACGCAATGAGCTGCTTTATCCCCCTATATGTGTATATTTTATTTATTTATTTTTTTAGATACATTTATTTATTTATTTATTTTTGGCTGTGTTGGGTCTTTGTTGCTGCGCGTGGGCTTTCTCTAGTTGCGGTGAGCGGGGGACTTCTTTTCGTTGCAGTGGGCAGGCCTCTCGTTGCAGTGGCTTCTCTTGTTGCAGAGCACGGGCTCTAGGCGTGCGGGCTTCAGTAGTTGTGGCACGTGGGCTCCGCAGTTGTGGCTCGTGGGCTCTAGAGCGCAGGCTCAGTAGTTGTGGCTTGTGGGCTCAGTAGTTGTGGCGCACGGGCTTAGTTGCTCTGCGGCACGCGGGATCTTCCCGGACCAGGGCTCGAACCCGTGTCCTCTGTGTTGGCAGGCAGATTCTTAACCACTGCGCCACCAGGGAAGCCCTGTGTATACTTTATAGAGTTAATTTTTTAAAACTTCCTTTCAGCTTTTCCATATTTGTAATATGTTTACATAGCTACCATCTACTTTTCTATATATCTTCAGTTTCTCTAAATTTTTAGTTATGCATAATTTCCCACTGTTTGGTGCACTACAGCTCGGAAGAGTTCGTTCATTCATTGTGTCGGTTTGGAGGGTTTTGTTGTTTCTCACAGCAACCACGTGGCCGGTGCTCTGCTCACTGTGGTGGGGAGGCAGGGGTCTTGATGAGCGAGATGGACCGTGGGAGACAGTCAGTAACAGAACTTGGGCCACATGGGGCCCAGATGGGTTACTGGTGTGCAGAACTTAAAAAGGGCCGTGAGAAGGAGGAGGGTGGCCGGGGCAGGCCTCTGAGAGACGGTGACACTAAGCTGACACCCGAAGCACAAGGAGGAGCCACGTGACACACGGGCAGAGACACGGAGAGAGAAGGGCCCGCAGCGGCTGAGGCAGACAGGCTCAGGTGCAGACCCAAGGCCAGCGGGGCCACTCAGCCAGCAACCCATGGGGACATCGGTCCCACCCAGCCTTGCCTGCACCGAGGGTTCTTTTACATTAATCTTGTTGATTAGTAATAATAATAATAATAATAAAATGGCACAGCTTTTTAATTTTTTTTTAACTTTAGAAAATTTAGTAGATTCCTAAACACTTCTATAAAATTAGCTTCCCCCCCCCCCCTTAGAGGAAAACGTGCATAGTATAAAAAGCCAAAGAGCGCAAAAAGGTTTTTAACAAAAAACATAAGTCTTGGGATGCTCAACTTTCTGATCTCCTTCCCAAGAAACAACTGCTTTTAGCCGTTTTAGTGTTTTCTGCTGTATTTCTAGATTTATGTATAGAGTACTCTCTTAATTAATCACCTTCAGAGATTAACTGCTGATTTCCTATGAAGAGGGTTTTGGGTCTTTTATACGCCCCCCTTCACCCCCTCGCCAGTTTCCTAAGTTTCCTAAAATGGTTATCCTTTTTTTTTTGGAATCCATTTTTTGTGTTCATTGTTCTGATTATGTAGCTATTATTTCCTTCTGAGCTAAGAAGTGTATATTTCAGTTCTTAAACAGCTTTCATTTTTGTGGATATAACAAATGCTTTTTTTTCTTGTCTTCTTCTCTATGCACTTTTAGATCTAGACAGTTCATTACTTACACAGATAGTAAAGGGAACGATAGCTAAAGTTGCCATCTTCCCGGGGTCCTTGTCCCGGACCCGAATAGGATGACAGTGAAACGTAAGCGGCCTGATGGCCACAGCAGGAGCCACGGGACCCCCGTTGCTGAGCAGCCCGGCTCGCGGGACAGCTTTATATTCTGCAGCTCTGCTCTGGTGAGGGCAGAAAGCCCCATGCCTCCCAGAATCCAGGAGGCAGTGACAGCCCTGGGTCGGGGGGATGGATGGGTGGGGAGGCCCTGTAGCAGTTGCCCTCAGGCTCCAGTCCTCCTGTGCTCCAGGAGGGTCAGACTCAGGCTGCAGTTCAAGCCTTCACGCCCCCGTGGCCTCTGGACACATGCAAGGTCGCCAGGGTGCCGTGGTGGAGCCACTCCCCTCTTCACTCCTTCACTTAGTTTTCCCTGAACATTTGACTGAGTTCCTATGGAAAGCCTCTCTGGCAGTTTCCACGTGGTCAGCGGTCTGCCTTTTTTACAGCCGCTCTTGGAACTGTCTGCTGTCCTGCCCTGCTGCTGCCCCTCCAGACTCGCAGGGCCTTCCCTGGGCATGACGCGTCCACATCCAACCGTCCTCCTGGCTGGTCAGGACTCCTGAGCCTCTGCTGGGAGGGAGCCGGCGCCATGGCCTGATGCGTGTGTCTTGCTTGCAGAGTATGTGAACTGGAGGAGCTGGGGGAACTGTCCCCTTGCTGGGAGAGCCTCCGGCGCCAGATCGTCACTCAGTACCAGACCATCATCCTCACGTACCAGGAGAACCTGACCGACCTCCATCAGTACAAAGGTGGGTGCCCGCTCTCAACCCCACCATGGCTCACCCACTCTCATTTTCCCAGCTGGAAATCTGGAACCCAGGGTCACTTCCATATTCCCACTGAGAGACACTCTAATGGATTTTTAAAAATAGATTCTCATGTAGGTGTGAGTTCTCTCAAATATGGAGTTTTCAGATCTTAATTGAGAAGACAAATGTGTGAATTGCATCGAAAGTTCCTTCCATGGTATCATCTGCCAAAACAACCGCTGTAGGATGAAATTCAGGAGAGACAAAGTCACAGGCTGTTGGTTCATTTTATTTCTTCATCTTGGTCTAGCATCAGTGAAATGGCCAAAAGGATGCAGGCCGTTTGCCTTGAGACAAAGCAAGGCAGGGTTTTCTAGATTTCCCGGTTTAACTGTTTAGCGGTCCTTATGTTTACATATGAATTGTCTGAGTGGAGCTCTCCATTTTAAGACTCAGAAGTGAAAGTGAAATACAGACACATCTTTTTCTTCTTGAAAGATGCCACTTGATTTTCAAAACATTTTCAGGGTAGGTTTAGAAGACTGTGCTTAACTCGTTCCCTGTTGGTTCCAAATGGAGTGACTTTTTTAGGTTTCTATTACTTTATTCTCTTCAGATTCTTCCCTCCTTCCCCTCTTTATAATAGAACTTCAGCTTTTAAGGAAAATCGTGACCCCTTAATGTGGGGTCAGCACAGAGGAACCTGTCCCTAAACTTGGCTGAGAAGCAGCCAGGTTTATAGGAGTCATGACAAGATGATGCTGCCCTGGCTTTGGTTTGAATCTGAAGAGCAGATCTAAGTGTATTTCTAAGACAAATGGCAGTGTTTGCCTGAAGGGACTTAGGCACCTGCCCGTGCTGGATGCTTGTTACCTGGGAAAGTCTGAAACGCCCCCACCATGATTCTTCGAGAGCAGAGCTTCTGAGATGTCAGTGTGCTTCTAAGTCTCCGGAGAGTCTCGTGAACAGCAGATCTGGGATTCTTCATTTATAACAGGCTCCCAGGATGCCAGTGCTGGGGGTCCACGGGCTACCCCGTCAGTAGCTAGAGAACCATCTCCCGTGGCAAAGTGCAAAGCGGACAGTGGCTGGTCTGCATTTTGCATACTGGCAAAATGAATTTGTCTTTTTTCACTAGATGGAATGTTTATTTCTCCTGATTGTTAGTGTAATTTATAGCCTCTTTTTCTAGGCAAGTAGTTCTTTACTTAATTAAGTATTCTGATTATAGAAATAAGATTGTGAATATTTGTTAGAAAACATGGTCCAAACTCCTGAGCCCCACCCCAGGATGTACAAGGGGACATGTTAGCCTGTTTTCCAGAGGCCAGAATCGAGGCTGTGTAGCGTTTGCTCATCTTGATAGACCTGGGGTGATGAGCAGACCTTCTCATCACTTTTCAGAATTGAGAAGTGTTGCTCCCGTCACACCAGTTTCTTAGATCTTGGATGCCGGCAGGCTCTACAGTTGGAACAGGCACTTCCTGGCACGGGCCCACTTGCTTTTCATAGTGGTGCTGACATCGTGCTGCACAGAATCCTGTCCCCGTGTCAGACCTGTCGGTTGAGAGCTGCCGATGGGAAGGCCGGGCGTCACTCCTGAGCCTCCGAGGCCCCTTTCACCACCTAGGACCCCGAACCAGTCTCCTGGCCGGGAGCTGCTCTCCCTCAACGTTTCACCCCCATCGTCTGGGAAGGAAGTGTGCTCACGGGCAGCTCAGTTTCTGAGGCCACTGCTGACACACACCTGCATACCCGCAGCAGCACCCTCAAACTGTCCCTTCTCCACCCACCGTTCATGAATGGGGGATACGGGCTGACCATCTTTATTTTCTCACATTCCATTCCTCAGGTCCCTCGTTCAAAGCAAGCAGTTTGAAAGCAGATAAAAAGTTAGAATTCGTTCCCACAAACTTACACATACAGAGGATGAGAGTTCAGGACGATGGAGGATCAGGTAACCGTGTCGCTCGATCACGTCTCACTTCTTTTCTCCCTGAGCTGCCCCACGTCTGCCCCAGCCTGCCCTGTGCGTGCTGCTGCTGCTGCTGCTGCGTGCTCGGCAAAGAGGCACAGCCCAAGGGCCTCCGGAAGGCCTCTGCGGAGAGCTCAGACCCCTTCCTCTCGTTTGTCCTCCCTCCAGCGTCCCTTTGTGTTGCTGTGGCAGAAGATTGCCCACAGGTCATCCTTCTGAAGGAGGGATGCAAGCTGAGTCGCTGGGTAGTTGCCCTCTGCCCTGTGTGACTCTCCCCTGAGACAGACAGGACCCCGCGTAGCCGAGATGATGGTGCTTGGCTCCAGAGGCCCTCGGGCAGGCCGGGCTGTGCAACTGAGGGAACCACAGGCTGCTTGGGAGTGGGCCGGCAGGGGATCCCAGAGTTGTGTACGTATCCCTGTAGCTGGCTCATCCACAGGCCTGAGCCCAGAGTAATGGAGGAGGGCTTTCTGTCATTCAGATCAGAACTACGACATTGTCACCATCGGAGCGCCAGCAGCACACTGCCAAGGCTTTAAGTCAGGAGGTCTCCGCAAAAAGCTGCACAAATTTGAAGAGACCAAGAAACAGTAAGTTCTTGGAGGGTGTTTGTCGTCCTTGTACTGCCGTCTGAAGCTTCCTAGGTTAAAAAAAAAAAAGAAAGTCAAAACGGGACCACAGAAACATCCAGCATCCGATCTGCTTTTGCGGGGCAGGAGGAGCTGCCTTATGGGCCCTGTGCTGCTCTGTGTGTGTGACTGTAAAATGACAGCGGATGGAAATGCACCTGGAGAGCGGTGCCCCAGGCGGCGGCCCTCCTGGACGCTGGGGCTCGGCTGCCCTTTACAGACCCTGGTCGGTCGGTTGAAGGTCACAGAGCGTGAAGCCCGGGACAGGTCGTTTCCTCTCCTGGTGGATGCTGGCGGTCCACGTTCCCAGTGTCAGAAAGGCTCAAGGGGCTGCACGGAGTTGACCACGCTGAGCAGGAACTTGGGAGGTGGGCGGGGCGGGGCCGGCCTTGCGGAGCTCGCGGTAAGGGGCGGGGCCTTGGGCGCAGGAGCTGAGGGGAGGAGAGGGGAGGGGCCGGGCGGGCGCAGGCGGCCTGCGGGTGACGCAGAGCTGACGGGTCTGGGCCTGGCCCTGGGGCAAAGTCAGCGCCAGCGCTTGGAGCCTGCTGGGACCCGGCGAGCGGAGGGTGCAGGGTGTGCTGTGGCTCAGAGGGGGCGGGGGGAGAGCGCTAAACCGAGCTGTTGAGCTGGACGCCGCGAGGCGTGGGTGATCTTCCCGAGCGTCACGCGCCAGGCTTACCTTGACCAGGGGGCGCGGGTGTAGGAAGTGGATGCCAGGCGGGTGGCCGAGGCCTGGCCTCCTCGGACCGTGAGGTGGAGGAGCGGCGTGAAGGCCTCGGGCGCGCAGAAGGTGACCGAGACGAGCCCGTGCTCTGGCTGATAGGAGAGATGAAGGCAAGTGGGGGGAGACGGCAGAGGACACCGATGGAACGAGCTTCTGGAGGAGACGGGGCGGCGAGGCCCGGAGAAGGTGGGGCTGCAGAGAAGGAACAAGCTGGGGCCGCGACGGGGCAGTCTGCACGGAACGTGGGCTCGAGGGGCCGGAGCTGAGTGAGTGGAGGACGGTGAGGCCAAGGCCCGCCAGCCTCAGGAGGACCCGCGGGGCAGTCGGAGGAGGCTTAGCACCGGCCGGAGCCTCAGGCCCCAGGGCGGGAGTCAGGACAGGGCTTGAGCAAGGTGACCTCGGACTGCGCGGGTTGGGAAGAAAGGTCAGGTGCAGCGGTCGTGGGCCGAGGGGCCAGCAGAGCAGCCGGGGAGTCGGGTCAGAGCTGAGCGCAGGGCTGGGCGGCATCTCTGGGAGGCCCCTGGCAGCCTCCTCGACCTTGATTCGTCCCCACCAAGGGCTCCTCCCTGGGCAGACAAGCCAGGCCACCAGATTCCCCCCCCCCCACCCC